ACAATAATAACATCATTATTAATTTTTTTTTAATTCTATTTTATTTTTAAACGGGCACAATTAATTTCAGGAGCCTTAAGCTGAGTTTTTTACCCTCCTGGGCACTGATTTTGCAGCTTCCAAATGAATTGCAATTTTTCTCCAAAATTAATCTCAAATTCTGCAGTGAAATCACCAATTAATCACCCAGAAATCTGGGTTACATGCACATATTTCTATAAAAATATTTTATTCTGTGTAATTTTAACCAGATTTAACAGAAACATTCCTGTTTTCCTTACAACACGAATTTTCCTGGAGTTTTTTTTTAATCTTAAATTTAATTTTAGGACTTCTTTAAAAGAAAATATTGCCATTTTCATTTGCTAAAATGCTACTTTGCCTCAAAATTAAGTTTTCAGAACTAAATAGTAAATGTGAATTTTGTGGTTTTTTTTTCCTCTGAGGGACAGAGTGGGGACCAGCCCTGGCAGCAGCAAATTTCAAAGTTTGTGCACAAAAATCCTCCAAATTTCAAAGTTTGTGCACAAAAATCCTCCAAAAAAACCCCCAAATCCTGTCTGTATAATTAAGGGTTTAAACACTTTTATAAATAGAATTTCCATAAATACTCTGGGATTGCACAGGGAATTGGAAGCACAATTGTTTCCAAACTGTTTTTTTCCTTTTTGTTCCAAAAAGCAGCAGCAAATTTAGGACAATTTATTACAATTCCTGATGAAATATCCGTTTAAAATCATCATTATTATTTGTAATAATGATTATTCATCATCATTCTTTTATTTTTATTTTATAATATTTTATTATAATTTATTTTTTTTTCCAAACCAATCAAGGAGCTCCAGCTGAGCTGCACTGAGGTTTTTAATTTAATTTCATTTAATTGGTTTTTCTTGTAACATTAATTTAATTTTTTTTTTAAATTTTATTTTTTTTTCTTTGTGTGTGTGTGTGTGTTATTCCAGGAGATTTGCTGGAAACAAGGAGAAATTTTTGGAATTCCACAGCAGCACCAGGAGCACAAAAAAATCCCATTGGGAATTTCCCCACCAAAGGATCCTTTCCAAGGAGCTGCTCATTTCTCCCAACTCCAAATTCTCTCCTCATTCCTTCAAAAAAAAAAAAACAAAAAAAACCCAAAAAAAACCTGAGAATCATCTTAATGCTACTGCCCTCTGCTGCTGCTGGAATAGGGACAGGCAAAAAAATGGATTAATCTGTGACTGAGCTACTCAAAAATAGGATTTCCATCCAGAATATTCCAATTAAATGCATCATATGCAAATTAAATGTTGCATTGGGTGGTTCTTGTCTTCTTTTGGTGAATTTAAATATCTATATTTTAATAATATTTTAATTAAAAAAAAAAAGTCACTGCTAAGCACTCTGAGAATATTTTATGGTAAATGAAATAAAATTCAATTTTGAGAGGTTTAAATGATTTCAATGGATCCCTGATTCCAGATTGGAATAAAAAGATGGGAATAAATAAGTGTGGGAGTGGAAAAGTTTGCATTTAAAAAGTTGCTCAAATTGATTTTGGGGATCATATATTCACTTTGGGATTGTACATTGAGTTTTAGGATCATACATTCCATTTTGGATAATTTTGGATTATTGAAGTTGTCAAAGGCAAAGCTCAGGGGAAGAAAATGCAAATCCTGCTCCATCCCAAAACCTCCTCAAACAGCAGCAAAATGGAATTCCCAGAGCATCCCTCGGATTCCAGACTCACCTGGGACACACTTGAGTCCACAATTACCAAAAAATCCTTTTTTTAAAAAATTTTTTTAATTTTTTTTTTGGGGAAAACCAACGTGGCAGAATCATTGCTGCAGATTTATCTGCAGGCAGATCCTCCAAAACCTTTCTGCACTCTCTGGGTTTTTTTGTTTTTTTTTTCCTGCCAAACCCATCCTGGATTTTTCCTTCTTTTTCCCATTCCCCTACAGTGAATTAAATGCTGCAATTGTCCCAAATTTTTCACCCTGCAGCAGAACAAATCGTTGGCTCTCTTTGAACACACACAATCTTATTTTACATTTTAAAGGACATCAACTTTTCCATTCAAGAACCAGGCAATAATTAAAGATCATTTCCCTGGTGCCATTTAATTAATCCCTACATTGGAGAAATGTTGGCTGGGAGGGTGGAGAACATGGAATAAAAATAAAAATAAATATAAAAATAATAATAAAAAAAAAAAAAAACAGAATTAAAGAATGGGAAACTCCTGAAATTGTTCTGGTTTTTATATCCCAGGTGGGCACAGGACACTGAACATTTCCTGGGATGATCAAAACCCCAAGGAAAATAAAAGGGAAAAGTGAGGAAGAAGAAGAAGGACAGGGAATGAGAGCAAACAAATGTGAAAAATTCTGGTAATTCCTAAAGATAAAAATACAAAGAGAAGAAAAAAAAAAAAATCCCATTTTTCTGAGGTTTCAAGGCTCAGCTAATGTGAAGCTTTAATTATTTTTGCAGTTTGGGGTTTTTTTTATTAAACGTGCACTGAAATGTGAAACTCGCAGCTAATAGAACCCATGTGGAGGTAGCCAGAGCTGCTCTGCAATGATTTCATTCATTCCATGCACAGGAATTGCCAAAAAAACAAAATCTGATTTCAGAGCAACCACCAGCACAAAAAAAAAAAAAAGTGGGGCGGGGGGGAGGAGGAAAAAAATTACAAGCAGCACAAACGGCAAAAAAATTCTGCAGAAAAACCAAAATTTGGTACCTGAACACTTGTGGCACCTGGGAGATTTCCCTGCTGACATTTCATGGGGGGGGTTGTGTAAAATTCCTGCTCAAACTTTCCCAAATTCCTGCTTTGTCAACTTTTCACTTGGAATTGGGATGGAAAAAGCAGCAGCAAAGCTCACCTGAATCCCCAGCACCTGCTCTGTGCACAGGAAATCATGGAAAAAATGGGAATTTCACTGGGAAATAATCCCAGGGAATATCCAACAGCCAGGCTCCCACTCAGGTTTTAGTGAGGATATATTTATTATTTATTATTTATTATTTATTATTTATCATTTATCATTTATCATTTATTTTTTTTTATTTATTTATTATTATATATTATATATTATTATTTATTGTTTATGATTGTTATTGTTATTTATGGTTATTTATTATTTATTATTTATTATTTATTATTTATTATTTATTATTTATTATTTAGTCCAGCTACAATCAGTCACAGAAACCCCCACGTTATTCCTGATTATATTCTTGTCTCCCTGGCAGGGGGAATTAGGCTTCAAAACATGCAGGGGAAAAAAAAAATAAAATAAAATAAAATTTTAAAAGCTTGAAAAATAATGGACAAGTGGGAAAAGTCCAGGAATTTGCAGGAAGCTGCTGCTTTATTCTGTGTTTCCCTGCTCTCATCCTGCTCCTGGTGCCAAGGAAAAGGGATCAGCTCCAGCCTAAACCCTGAGCTGGGCTTAGCTGAGCTCCTTCAACTCCTCCAGGAGCTCCTCATTAGCTTTCAGTAATTAATGCTAAAAATCCCCCAAATCTCTGCTTGCTCCTGGTTTTTAAAGCACTAAAAAAAAAAAAAAATCATTAAAACGAAAAAATATCCATTTTTAAACGGAAAAAAATACCCATTTTAAAAACGAAAAAATACCCATTTTAAAAACTAAAAAAATACCCATTTCCCAGCAAATGCTTCTGGAGGGCTCTGGGAATGTTGCTGGTGATGCTCGAGGCACTGAAAGTTTTTCACACCAAAATGCAGCTGAGTGAGTGAAAAAAAAAGCAAAATCCCAGCACTCAATCCTTTGTTTTAACCAAAGTTTGAAAGCAGAGCTCGGACAGCACAGATAACATGATTTAAATCCCCCAAAAAAAAAGAGAATTAATCACGATTTTTTTCTTCCCTATCTCCCATCTGTGACACAGCCCTGGGCGTGCACAGACAGGTGGACACAGATTTCCACAGGAACAGATAATGCTGTGAGGTTTTAATTACAAATAAATTCAATTTAATCCAAGTGCCACACTCAGCTATAAAACCACCCAGTGTCAATCCTGTAAGGAGGTGTCATTTGGACAGAAATATTTCACAGAGAAGGAAAAAAAAAAAAAAAAAACCAATGAATACCAAAACAATATCCCCCAAAAAATCCAAGGTTCCATTTCAAAAATGCAAGATTCCATTTCCACATTTCCAAGATTCGCTTCTGCAAAAGCCCCTCTGATGCAGCCCTGAGCAAAGAGCATTTCCAGGCCTTTATTTTCTTCTTTAAATCCAAATTCTGCCAAGCTCAGGGTGCTGGGGGCTCCTCTGAGCTCCAAACCCTGCTGGTGGCAGAGGAAGGATCCCAAATGTCTCCCAAATTATTCAGATTTACCAAGAACCAAACAATTCCTCACACTCATTCAGTAATTATTGCAGAACAGAACTAAAAATACCTTAAATATCTGCTCTTATTTTCAATCCACTAAAAAATACCCATTTCAGAGCAATGGAAACCCTGCTGGTGGCAGAGGAAGGATCCCAAATGTCTCCCAGTTTATTCAGATTTATCAAGAACCAAACAATTCCTCACTCTGATTGCTGGGGCCTGCCCTGGAAGCTCCTTGCAGGAGGATTTTTGTGCTCAGTTTGAGCAGAATTCAACATTTCAAGTGTTGGGATCGAGTGTGAGCAGTTCTGCTGCAGCTCACCTGGGAATCCTGAGAATCCTGAGCTCAATTCCACATTCAAGGATTCCTCATCCAAGGAAAAACTGATTTTCCTCAGAATCCTGAGCTCAATTCCACATTCAGGAGCTCCCCAATCCAAGGAAAAGCTGATTTTCCTCACCTCATGTTTGCAGGAGAACCTCACCAAACCTTCTCACCAACAAAACAAAAGCAGATTTGATTCTCTCAGGACAGCCATGCCATGAAAAAGGATAAAATGTGAAATAAAAGTGGAATTGCTTCAATAATTGTTGGGTTTCTGGGGACTGAGGCCACATCTGGTGGCAGAGGAGAGTCCTCAAATCCAGCTCCTCCTTGGGGAGAGGCCAAAGGAGGGAGAAAAAAAAAAAAAATCTTGCAGGAATGATGAACCAAATATGGGCCAAATATGAAATATTCCCATGGAGTTTTATCCTTTTTCACATTATTCATTTCACCAGGAAGGCCACAGAACTTTAAAACAGGCACTAAAAAAATGGGGAGAATGATCCCAAAATTCCAATCAAAGACCAAGGAAAAATGTTTGAACTCAATCCTGCTCCTACCTGCCCGTCCTGACCCACGTGCACTTGGTGGATTTGCAGATTTCCCTGGAAAAGGAGACAAGGGAAAATCAGCACAAGCCTGGGATGGCAAAAACTGCAAATAAACTGCAAATAAATCTGTTTCAATGTGAAGGAAATCCATGAATTTAGGAAGTTCTGCTGAAGGTTCTTTAGGCATTCCAGCTCCAATCAGCCTCCAAAGTAAGGAATTTCCAACCCAGCGTGTTCTGCTTTTGGAAGTTACTGGATAATTGATTTTTATGCAAATTTTTTCTGAGGTCAAACTTTTGGTTTTTACCTGCAAATTAAAATCCAACCCTTACTAACCCAGAATTAACACTTGTACAGGGTTGCAGAGCTATTTATTATTTGCTTTTTCTTTTATCCTCATTCTGTTCTGAAAACCATCACGGGGATTACATGTATTAAAAAATAAAAACCAACAAACTCAATAAATCAAAGTCTTTTTAAGCTCTAAAGTCCAATAAGGAAATCTTTATGACATGAAGTTTTTATTCACATGCTCACAGATGTCTTTCCAAAAGTACACTTGGATTAAGGAAAGGCAGCTTCCCAAAAGAGCCCTGCAGTGAAACAGCACATTTTGGAGGACAAAATCTCCATTTTTTTGGGTGCAGTTTCTCTTGCTGGCAGCTCCCCTCTCACTCGTGTACGTTGTCATCAATTGAAAACCAGATGTTTTCATCTGTCAGGGACAACTGGAGCCTTTGAAAGTCCCCCAGACAAGAAGAGCCAGAGGATCCAGGGTGTGCTGGAACCTCGGGATCCAGTCCAAAATCTCTGCTGAATCAGCAGGTTTTTTGTTTTTTGGTTTTTTTTTTTTTTAGTGGTTCTTTACCCAGAAACTCCTCCAGTTTTATGGCAGCACCACACATTAGAGCCAGAAGATTTTAATCCTTTCTTCTCTCTCTCAAGGCCTGACAGGCCCTTCAAAGGACAAGCCTTTAACTACAATATTTATAGAATTTTTATGATAATATTTATTCTCCAGTAGCTGCCTGTGTTAACAATATTCCTTCACAAAGTGGTTTTATGAGCTGTGATTTGGGTTCTTTGGACAGGGATTAAACCAAGCCAGGCAGATCCACTTCCCAGCAAGGGAAAAACCTTGACAGGGAAATGGGACAGATTCAAATTGTTGCCTGTATTCATGTTTAACCTGATTTTTTAAATTTCTTCTTCATTTAAACAAAGTACACAAGAAATCCAAGAGCACTTTTAGCAGTCAGGAGCTTTTAAAATAATCAATAACTGCAGCAAATACACAGGGAAATCCATCTGAGCCAAAATGGGAGGGTTTAGGATTGAATTTATCCATTTCCAGTTATCCATATCCATTTATCCATCCAATTCCACTGAACTATTTTTCTGGGGAAAAAAAAAAAAAAAAAAGAGGAAGTGCAAATACTGCAGTGGCAGATGAGCTGGTCAGGAGTGAAGGGTAAATTCATTCTGGAATATTTCTGTATTAGATGGTGCCTGAAGGTTTCTCCAACTCCTGTTCAACCATTCAAGGCCCTGAGTGTTCTGAGCACTTTGGGTTCATCAACTTAATAGAATAATTTTATTTTTAAGCAGTGCAAGCACTGGTTTCCTGTTAAACTCTGCCACTACTGAATTTCCAAAGATCATCAGCCCTTATGCAACAATGAACACACACTGAGCTGAGTGAGGGGAAAAATAAATGCAAATAATACAAATAAAAGAAATAGAAATAATAATAATAATAATAAATAAAAGCCCAGAGACAGAAGCAGCAGGTTCACATTTTCTGATTTGCACTCAGGGCTGCAGAGAGAAGAACAGAAAAGCCCCCAGGCTTTGCTCACCTCGCTGTCCTGGGTGATCTGGACCTGCTCTCCCTGGGGCACCTGGGCTATGTGGAGATGGCCCTGTGGGATCCACAACACAACAAAACACCGAGGAGCATCAGAGCAAAATCACAGCTCAGCATCAGAGCAAAATCACAGCTCAGCATCAGAGCAAAATCACA